TATATATATATATATATGTATGTATATATGTATATATATATTATAATTGATGAGTAATATTTCGAGCCGAAACGAGCCGAATAAATTTTTATTTGTTTTCGACTCGTTAACTTAGCGAACATGTCAAACACGAATTTTTTAAGGAGACGAACACGAATTTCGTTCGTTTTGATAACCCTAGAGAAAATCATTAAAAAATTGCTGTATTATATTAAGAGCAAAGGTATCACTGTTATTCTATTAACTTAAAAACAATTGCAGGTTGTAGAGATAAAAGTGAGGATTGACTGCGAGGGATGTGAGAGGAAAGTGAGACAAGCAGTGGAGGGAATGAAAGGGGTAAGTATGGTAGTGGTGGAGCCAAGGAAGAATAAGTTGACTGTGACGGGCTATGTTGACCCTAAGAAAGTGCTGCAAAGGGTGAGATATAGGACGGGTAAGGTGGCGGAGCCATGGCCCTACGTGCCATACGATATGGTCTACCACCCATACGTGCCGGGCGCATACGACAAGAAGGCGCCGCCGGGGTACGTGCGAAACGTCGTTGCCGACCCCACACTCGCGCCGCTCGCGCGAGCCACGTCGACGGAGGAGACGTATTCCGCGGCTTTTAGCGATGATAATCCTAATGCGTGCATCGTTATGTGAATTTTGGCCTTGCGGTGCTTTCACGATGAATAGATAATTTCTGGGAAATTAATGTAAAAATTTTTTTATAAGTAATTGGATATGTAAATTCGCTAAGAATTATTAATCTATGTTTTTGGGGTGTTTTGTTTTGTAATTATTATATATCAGCAATGATATTAGTATGTTTTTTTTTAATTATTATATATCATGATTATGTTTCTATTATAAAGGACTAAATGGGAATGATGGATCTTTTGTAGAAGTGATTAATCATCAACTTTATCTTTAATAATCATAGATTTGACTCGACCCAAATTATTATTCATAGCTTTTGACCTATAGATGACATGCCTTTTTTTTTCTGGTCTCTCATTTATGAAATAAAAATTTAATTATTTTATTGTAATCCATAGTTAGCATCATGTTGTACCAGGTAAGTTCCACACATACACACTTATGTGTATGCTCCGCGTACTCAAATAAGCTGGCCAGGCATCCAAGTGTCTGTTGTAAATCCTCTTTGATATATAATTCGATTTCCCTCGAGTGTTGGGTGTGGTATATAAAACATCTTCATAGATTGATGACCATTCCTTTCAAGCATGACCGTTAACCTATTTGATGCCCTAATAGGATCCTAAGACAATTTTGTGGTCATAGGTAACTAATCGAGAAGTTGAATTTATTATTTGACAATAATTGGCTTGATTGATAATTGGCGCACATGATTAAATTGATTTAAAATCTTTTATTAACCCTAATCTGATCAAATTCAAGCCAATTTGGTTAAACCATTGGTTGAACTAATTAGTTTGTTTTTATTATTTATGTTGGTGTGATGGGACCTATTATGCAAAATTGACATCTAGAATCACTTTGTCAATAAATAATAACATTCAAATCTTAGCTTGAACCTGGATTAAGTGACTTCTTTGGTCCAATGAGATAGAATTTGACAATTCACTAAAGCAGGTGAGGCAAACAACGTCTGACATTTACGTCGAAAAATTTTGACATACATATTTTCATCGGATTTTGTGATGGATATGCGTCCATGATTATATTATGTTGTCTGTGGCAGAATTTGCGCGGTATTAGCCTTTGAATACTTGACACAAAAAATAGTGAAATTTTCACTGATATTAGGTTGATTTTTGCGTCGGATTTTTGTCAACTAAGTCGTCGAAATGTATAACATAATAACATGGAAAGAATCCGTTGCAAATTCGACACAAAAACCAAAGCATTAGACCTAGAAACCCATCCCACGTTCTCTGTTTTGTTTTCATCCTTCACATCTCGTGTTCTTCCCTCCTGCTCCAAAAACCCTCACACCCTCTCTGCCTTGCCTGAAACCCTCGCACCCCACCTTCCAAATTCTCTCCCGACACTCTTGCTTGACAACACGGCTCAAGTTCTATGGTCGCCATTAGAGCTAGCTGGGATGGCAAGGAGCGAGCACGCAACCATGGATCGAAACTCCCATATTTTTCAACCTTTTGCTCCACTCTTATCTAAAAGCATTGAGGAAGGTCTGATTATTTGTGCCATTAATTTTTATATTGTATTATGGTTTGTATATTAGAATTGAAGTTTAAGAGTTAGGTATGCATATACATCTTGGTTGAATTTGAAAAGTAATGACTCTTCCCTCGTTCTCCCCCTAAAATAGGCTTTAGAATCAGTTTTTGGAAGTTATATGGAGGAGAACCCGCCAAAAACAACCTTTTGAAACGTTTTAAGTCATTTTCATCGTCGCAGAGCCTCAGGGGCCGCTTCTGGCGCTTCAGGCACCAACTCTCTAGAAAGTGGCCTCAGACGTCAGTTCCAAATTTTTGTCATTTCGATTTTAATCCAATAACTTCTTAAATCTTCCATAGAATTAGATAAATAAAGATGTTTTTAAATATTTTCTTAATCTCAAGTTTCTTAAATACACGAAATCCATAAAATTATGGATATATCTATATAAATATAATATTACAAAAAAACATATAATCAAAATAAACAACGATAAATATAGGCTGCCTCCCATAAAGTGATTGGTTTAATGTCGTCAACCAGACATTCTCAGGCTTTACTCTGGGTGATCCAACCTTACAGTCTCATTAAAATTTGGTCTTTGACCAAAACAATCTTGTTTCAGTCTGTGCATATTTACTTTAAATATCTTTCCAGTCTTGGGATCTTCAATATTAACCGCTCCATAGGGATAGACTTTTACAATTGTGAATGACCCTTTCTACCTAGACTTCTGTTTTCTAGGAAATAATTTCAATCTTGTATTATATAATGAAACTTTCTGTCCAGGCTCAATTCCTTTTTTATTATATTTGGATTATGCTATTCTTTCATTTTATCCTTATAAATCCTAGCATTATCATAAATTTCATTCCTAATTTTTTCAAGCTCATTCAATTGCAATAATCTTTTCACACCAGCTTTTTTCAAATTGAAATTGAACTCCTTAATGGACTAATAGGTCTTATGATCCAATTTTACTGGTAAATGACAAGTCTTCCAAAAAATTAATCTAGTTAGGGACATTCTTATATGTGTCTTATAATCTATTCTATAAGCTCATAATGCAGCATCTAATCTAGCAGATTAGTCTATTTTATTAGGATTCATAATTTTTTATAAAATTCTTTTAATTTCATGATTAGATACTTCGGTTAGACTACTAGTCTGGGGATAAAAAGCAATTGCAATTTTATGCATAATATTATATTTTTTTACCAAACTTGCAATTGTTGCATTCCTAAAATGAGATCCTTCATTGGTAATGATTATTCTTGGTATTCAATATCTTGTAAAAATATTTTTAATTAGAAAATTTAAAACACTTCAAGCATCACATCGAGGTAAAGCAATTGTTTCAATATATTTTGACAGATAATCCACAACAATCAATATATTTATTTCCAAATGAATGTATAAATGGTCCCATAAAATTCAATCCCCATGCATCAAAAATTTCAATTACCAAATTAAAATTTAGAGGCATTTCATTTCTTTTTGAAATATTACTTACTCTCTGAATTTATGAGCAGTTCTACCATTCCCAAAATGACCTCTAAATTCAAAAAAATGACATTTTTGGATAATTTCCTGAATTTTTTTATAAGACACATATATTCTCATTACGAAATCTTTGAAATGTTTGTACAAATATGGGTCATCCCAAAAATAAGATTTTGCATCGTGAATGAATTTCTTTTTCTGTTGTTTTGTCAGTCCATATAATAAAATACCACTAACAATATAATTCACAATATTAGCATACCATGATATTTCTCATCTTTTACCAACATAAAGTTATTCATCAAGAAAATTTTCATTAATTTCTTTATCCAAGTCAACTGTTTCTTTTTGTTCCAACCTAGATAGATGATCAACAATTTGATTATCACTTACTTTCCTATCGACTATTACAAAATCAAATTCTTACATCAGAAGTATTTGTCTAGTTAATCTTGGTTTCACATCATTCTTTTGCATCAGATATTTAATAGCCGAGTAGTCAGTATGCACAACACATTTAGCTCTAATTATATATGACTTAAACTTATCAAAAAAATAATTAATTGCTAATAACTCTCTTTCAGAAGTGTTGTAATTAATGTAAGCATCATTAAGAGACTTACTAGCATAGTATATAACTTAAAAAAAAATATATCTCTGCTCTAAAATAGCTCCAATTTCATGATCACTTGCATCACACATTAATTCAAAAGGTTTCTCCCAATGAGGTGGAAAAATTATAGGAGCAACAATCAATTTTTCCTTTAAAGTTTTAAAGGCCTTAAGACACTCTTGGTTGAAGTCATATTTTTTATCTTTTTCCAGAAGTTGGCATAAAGGCTTAGTAATTTTTGAAAAATTTTTAATATATTACCTGTAAAATCCAACATGTCCTAAAAAGCTCCTAACTCCTCTTACAGTAGTAGGTGGAGGTAGGTTTGATATAACTTGTATTTTGCGGGATCTACTTTCTTGTCATTTTCTGAAATTTTATGCCCATGTTTAATTCCTCCTGGAACCATAAATTGACATTTTCCCACTTTAATACGAGATTCATCCTTTCACATCATTCAAGAACTTTCTATAAATGATTTAGACATATTTTAAACGAAACTCCAAATACAGAACAATCATCCATAAAGAATTCAATCCCTTTTTCAATTAAATAATTGGAAATTGACATCATACATCTTTCAAATGTTGCAAGTGCATTACATAATCTAATGGGCATTCATCGAAAAGCAAAAGTTCCATAAGGACTAGTAAATGATGTTTTCTTCTGATCCTCTATAGCAATAGTTATTTGATGATAACCAGTATATCCATCTAGAAAACAAAAATATATGTGCCCAGCTAGTCTGTCCAACACCTAGTCCAAAAAGGGTAAAGGAAAGTGATCATTCCTGGTGGCAGAATTTAATTTATTGTAATTTATGAAGATTGGCCATTTGGTGACTCCTCTTGTTGGTATTAATTCTTTATTCTCATTTGTCACAATAATCACAACTCCTTTCTTTAGAACACAGTGCATTGGACTCACCCAAGAAATGTCTGAAGTATGATATATTATTCCAACATTTAATCATTTTAAAATCTCTTTTTTGACAACTGTTGCAGGTGGATTTAGTGTGTTAATTTTGCAAATATTTTTCAATATTACAAACTACACATGACAGATACAATAATAATGCGCAATTTAATCCCAACAAAAATAACTTTAGTGAAAATAGTTTTATCCCTTAAAAAACATTAGACTTCCAAATCCCCTGAAAGTAACACAACTATACACATCGCTCATGTAATAAAGGGCACTAATGGAGTCCTAAATATCGATATCACAGGGAAGTTGGAAATGCTTATAAGTAAATTCTTAAGATTATAATGTAAACTAAAATTTTAAACTATAAAAGTGCAGTACAAAATTTGAATCTAAAATAAATGAGTGAATGCTAAATAAAATGTAGTTAAAAGACTAAGTTAATTAAACTAATTGCTGAGCTTTCAAAAGTAAAATTTACGCTAAATAAAGTTTGTGTTGAAGAGCTCAAATTTAAGAGAGCATTCTTCCCTTTTACAATGAGTATATGGTTTGTGAAGAAATTAAAATCATT